CTCCTCCTCCTCCTCCTCCTCCTCCTGACTCTGCTCACTGCTCAGCGTGCCCAGGGGATGGCGCGGCCCCCCCTGCCCGCCGATTCGATCGATGCGTTGGGAAACGTCGAGGTGCCTCCCCTGCCCTTCTCGGCAAGCGTGCCATGACGATCGCTCCTGCCCCTCCCCGCAGCTTCGGGCTCAACGAGGCTAGCCCGTGAGCCCACAGCTGCAATCAGAGTTTGAAGATACAGATTTTTACTTACATTCTCGCCCCCACCATGCCTGCCGCTCGATCGAAGGCTTCGGATGGGGGGGGGGGGGTGAGGAGGAAGGAAGCAGAGGAGGTCGAAGGAGCGACTTGCGAGGAGGAGGGGGGAAGGAAGGAGAGGAGGGGGAGGAGGAGGAGGAGGAGGAGGTAGGCAAAAGGACGATGAGGGAAAGGTGGGGTAGGAGGAGGAGGAGCAGAAGGAGGAGGAGGAGGAAAAGGAGGCCCCTGATCAGGCTGCAACACGTCGGAGTCAGACGGCTCTGGAGTCCTGGGGGAAACGATGCAAGGAACTGATCGCCCTTGCGCCGCAGGTCGATTTCAAGCATGGCCAGGACTTCGCTAACTGCTTCCAGCGCCCGCTTCGGATCTGCCTGCCCTGCGTTGGGGTCGACGGGTGCGGCGCTGCGTTCTCTCTCATGAACGTCTCTGTGGTCGGCCGTAATGTGATGGACATTGAGACGCCATATGACAAAATTTTGGAGGGCCATTTTGGTCCAGGCTCCCCCCCGGGCCCAAACGATCCCCCTCCCCTGCAGGCTCAGAAAGCTCACCCTCCCCAGGCTTCGAGAAAACGCCCCCGCAAGACAATCCATCCTCCGCCCACAGAGGCGTCGCGTCGCTCGGGGAGGGCAGCGGCGACGTCACGCAGATTCAGCTCGAATCAGTCTATGGATGCGATGGGTTGGTGATAGTGCGAGAGCAAGGGTGGGCCACGAATGGTGCTTCGGGGTCGGCTGAGCGCTGGCGCGTTTGGCCAAGCGCTCAAGGCTAACCCCAACGCGCCATTCGTAACCACGCCCTTGCTCTCGCGCAAGGTGAGCGGTCCACCGTGCCCCCCCTGGTCGACCGTTGGCCTCAAGAAGGGTCGAGATGACCCCCGTTCTGACATATACTTTCAAGTGCTCACGATGGCAATCAAGCTCATCAAGGATCTATTTGGGCGGTTCCAAGCGATGCATCAACCCATCCCCAAACGTTGCGATCTTCCTTTTCCTTCTCGTCCTCCTTCCCTTCCTCCTCCTCCTTCTCCTCCTCCTCCTCCTCCTCCTCCTCCTGCTGATACTCATCCTCGACCTCCCATGCCACCCCCCCCCCTCCGTTTCCAACACCTCCCCTCCCACCTTACCTCGCTACTTGTTCCTGGGGGAGGGGGTGATGGCATGCCTCCTAAAGGATGGTGTCGCTCTGTTCACGCTGCTCGAGAATGTGCCTGGCACGTTGGGAGCCCAATTGGCATCGGCTCGGTCGGTTCGCTTGGATCGCTCGGGGCCCCAATCGGGGCCCACGTCCTGGGTTGGCCCCGGGCTTGGTCAGCTTTGCCGTGGTTTGGTCTGGCCGCCTCGCCTGGTGTTTTGTCGGCCCTAGGCATTGCAGATCTCCTGGACTCGGTCCTGGGTGTCCTCCGCAAGGAGGTCAAGGAGTTCCAATGGGACGCCGTCAGCCTTGACTCGATTGATTACGGTTCGGCGCAGCAGAGGCGCCGCGCATGGCTCAGAGGCCTCCGCGCGGCCTCTGGGCCCATGCCTCCACCTCTCCAGCCGTTCGAGACACGCCCGCTGCAGGAAGCGGCCATTTCGTCGTCGCCACCCTCCCTGCACTCCTTCTTGTTCTCATCTTCCCCGTCGTCCCCCATTCCTCCCTTTCCTCCTCCTTCTCCTTCTCCTCCTCCTCCTCCTCGTCCTGCCCCTGCTCCTCCTCCTCCTCCTGCTCCACCTCTTCTCGTGTTCCTCCTCGGCCCTCTTCTCGCGCTGGTAGGATTTCCTGGCCCAGCTGCCCCCGGGTGACCTGGAGGCGCTCACGCCGATGATGAGGAGAAGCTTAACGTATTACGAAAAGAGGGTGCGCCGCCTCCTGGCCCAGGGGCTCGTTTCGGAGTCGAGCATCTGCTGTTTCAACGTCGACCGCTCCCAGAACGGGGCTTGGGGGAAGGACATGCTCGTCGATAGGTGCCCCACATTGACCACTAAGAACCGATACATCTGGGTACTCAAGGCTGGCGACGCACGCCTCCCTTACGCGAACCGCCAGTGCTGCAGGACCGATTCGAAACGCATGCCCCATCCCTGAACCAGTCTGGCCAACGAGCGAAGAACGAACAGAAGGAAGAAGAGCGAGGATGGAGAGAAGGAAATTGATAAGGGGAAGGAGGATGCGAATGAGACGGGGGAAGATAATGAGGAGGAGGAGGAGGAAATGGAGAAGAGGAAGGAGGATATGTACACCGCTTTTGAAATGGTGAGTAGCTCAGGTCAGTTACGTGCGTTCGTCTGGGCCCCGCTTTGGTTCCCAAGGTTGCTGACCCCTGTGGAGCGGTTTGGGCTACAAGGGCTACCCCTGAACAGTGTCAAAAAAAAAAAAAAAAACAAAAAAAAAAAAAAAAAAAATAAAAAAAAAATAAAAAAAAAAAATAATGTCAAAAAAAAAAAACAAAAAAGAAAAAAAAAAAAAAAGAAAAAAACAAAAAAAAAAAAAAAAAAAAAAAGACAAACAAAAAAAAAAAAAGAAAAAAAAAAAAAAAAAAAAAAAAAAAACAAAAAAAAAAAACAAAAAAAGAAAAAAAAGAAAAAAGAATCAAACAATAAAAAAAAAACAAAAAAAGAAAAAGAAAAAAAACAAAAAAAAAAAAAAAAAAAAAGAAAAAAAACAAAAAAAAAAAGGATTTGCCGTCTGAGTCCCTGGCCCTGAAGGCGTCGGGAAATGCGTGCCCCGCGCCGATGGTCATTGCAGCAGTCGCCCCGCTTTTAACTAAAGCTCGCGAGCTTCACGGTGATCCCAATGCTTCGCAGATCCGCCGCCCAATCATGGTTACTTGTATGTGCTACATTCAAATGCTTGAAACTTATAAAAGGTATGCCCGCTTGGGCGGCATGTTCCTGCTTGAGCTCATGTGCCTGCCTGACGGTGGCAGGCGGATTTGGCAGAGTCGTCTGTTCTTTTGCCGCCCGGGGACTGCGCTGCCTCTGTGTCGGAGGCCAAGCGCATCCGCGCCCTCTTCGAATCTGCAGGGAAATCCCCGGGCGGAGGCAAGCCGCTTTCACGCAGAGAGCAGCAGCAGCGTGCCAACGCTGAGGTCAAGAAAGCAAAAAAACAAAAAAAAAAAAAAAAAAAATAAAATAAAAAAAACAAAAAACCAAAAAAAAAAGCACGCAAGCTCATTTCCCAGTTCACTCGGCCAAGCTAGGGTGACAGTGCCTTTTTTTCGCACACCGCATCGCATGATTATCCTTGGGAAGGTCGCGGCCAGAAGGGCACTGGCCTTGCAGATACCAGTTCGCAATTTGCGAATCATCGAAAGGGGTCGATGTGTATCTCGTATCTTTGCTGATCACTTTTGGGATGTACAGGAGTTCTGATGCGTGCGTCTAGTTGGAAAGAGAGCCACCTGATCACATAGCCTAGCGTGCAGTCGAAACCACACTTAGCAAGCTAAAGTGCCACCAGAAAACCGTTTCGAGCAAGCATTGTTTGGTTGTCAGCGTGTGTTTATCATAGATCAATGCCGCTACAAGTGACAGGTGCTCTCCCGCTTTTTGTCTTGCTTCGCCGAAGGCTAGCCTCGCGAGGTATATGCAATCGAGATCATTTTTTGCCGCAAAACAAAAAGCCCATGTATGGACGGCAGGAGGAGGATGGGAGGAGAGGAGGAGCGGGAGGGAGAAGGGAAACACAGGAAGCAGAGAACGACTGGGAGGAGGACGACGAGGAGAGCGGAAGGAGAACGCAAATGCGTATAATGGAGGGACGGGAAGGCCCCCCATGGGAGCGGCCCCTAGTCACTGTGCCGCGCTTGGTACCTTCTGCCTCGGCACCCCACCCAGGAGCCCCCAAGAAGGCCCAGCACCCAGCAAGGGACTTGCTTCTAAACCAACTTCCCTACGGGGTTCGTTTCCAAAACATGTTGCGCACGAAACTAGAACAACTCAATGGGCCTCTCGAGACCCCCGACAAAGAACATGAATATCAGATGTGGTCCGTTTCAGACGGCTTGTGGGGCACTCTTGTCGGGCCCTTATCGTTGGGCCGCGTCTTGCTCCACTTCCTCCTGCCATCTTCCAAGTGATTATCCTCCTCCTCCTCCTCCTCCTCCTCCTCCTCCTCCTTCCTCCTTCTCCTACTCCTCCTCCTCCTCCCTTTTTTGGTAACATTCATGCTCGAACATCTCTTGGAGCGCCGACTGCCCTGTCCATCGAGCTTGCACCTTCGAGGCTTTGGCCATGGCAGTGCAAGCGGCGATTGCTGCTGCCAGCAGGTATCTGGCGGCGAGCGCGGCAAACGGGATGGCGGTTGGATCGCAAGATTTCCAGGCGGCGGTTCAGCAGCAGCGCCTTCTCATCGACAGGGCGATTGCCACTCAAGGTGCCATTGACACCGCCGCCGCCGCGGACGCCTTGAACGACCTCGCGAACAGCCTCTTCCCGGACGCAGATCGCGCTGCGATCGCCAGGGCCGTCAACGCTGCACAGACGACAGGGGTGGCACCAAAAACCACCACTAACAAACAGGCCACGCATCGACAACAACTCCATAACTTCCTGGGAAGCCATCCGATGACTCACGGATGCAAATCAGAAGCTGAAAAAAAAGAAAGAAAAGAAAAAACAACTTAAAAAATAAAAAAAAAAAAAAAAAATCGAAATACAAAAAAAAAGAAAACAACAAAACAAGAAAAAAAAAAAAAAAAGGACGAAATTGGGCATGCTTTTCCCCCCCCCTTCTCGACCCTGCAACAGCCATGGGCCGCAAGCTCGAGGTCATCATGCTCCGCATGCGGGCGCTCAACGTGATGTACCCATCGGAGCCGACGAAGGTGCACGTCGTCGCGTTGCTTGCCTTCGCCACAGGAGACGCCAGTGGGCCTGCGTCCATCGACCCCATGGCCACCCTGAGGGACGTGACGACGTCCGTGAGGTACTGGCGCGGAGTCACGCCCCCTCGGGCATTGCCATTCATCGTCACGTGGGGCCAGAACCCGAACGATCTTCGCATTGCTCACCCGCAGCTCTTCGAGGCCGCCTACGGTGAGAAGCACCCAGTGGCGTCGAAGGTGGACTCGGTCCAGCTCGGTCTTTTTCAGAGGACGTTGCCTGCCAGACAGAGCCACAGCGCGGTGGCCGCGGGGGCGAAGCGGGCTCGCGTTGCCCCCGCGGCATCCCAGCACGCTTTCCTTCAGGCTCGCATGGGGGGACGCGCGGGAGGAGGAGGAGGAGAAGGAGGAGGAAGAGGGGGAAGAGGAGGAGGAGGAGAAGGAGAAGGAAGAGGAGGAGGAGAAGGAGGAGGAGGAGGAGGTGCAGGAGGAAGAGGAGGAGGAGGAGGAGGAGGAGAAGGAGGAGGAGGAGGAGGAGGAGGAGGAGAAGGAGGAGGAGGAGGAGGAGGAGGAGGAGAAGGAGAAGGAGGATCCAACCCCCCGAAAGGTCCTTTCGGGGGTCGCGGGGATGGGGAAGCTCGGACAGCTTTGGAAACACAGTTTTCAGGAAAACCGTTTGGGCACGATAATGGAGGAGGAGGGTTGGGGCTACAGGAGGCAAGGGGTTGGGCCTCCCGAGGCGCTCGCTTCCAACTGGATGAACGCGATGCAGCATGGGCAGCAGCCTGGCATTCCTGGCTTGCAGATCTTCGCGCGCCCGCAGCAGGCGCCCGGGCTCCCCGACGTCGGCCAGTCCATGCTGCCAGTTGGCCGCGCTGGGTCGGGCGGGTTCGCGCTCATGGACGGGGCGGCCGCCGCGTCGCCATCGGCATCGCCGACGAGCGAGTCGTCGGGCAGCCCGGGCCTTCAGCTTGCACTGCCGTCCAACGCATGTTCGCCTGCAGAGGCGCCGCGCCCTGCAGCGAGTGCGTCTGCCGAGGACGTCGCCAGTCGGCTGCAGGCGAAGCTCGGCAAGGCGCGCGCAGCGAAGGCGGAGGACATGGGGGGCTCCGAGGAGACTGCCGACGAGGATGAGACCTCCAGTCACCTGAGGAGGCCCGCTGCTGCGCCCGCTGCTAAACGTGTTTTGCGTCGGCCCGCTGCTGAGTCATCGCCTGTTTCTGCAGATGCCCGCGGCAAGGGCCGCGGGCAGGGGAAGGGCAGGGGCCGCGGCCAGGGGAAGGGCAAGGGCCGCGGCAGGGGCCGCGCCACGAGTCATGGCGCAGGCACGGCATCCAGCAGCAAGCACCCCTACCCTGGCCCCCCCACCAAGAAAAAACCAGCCATGTGTATCGGCCAATTCGGCGTGTACACAGATCCGCGTACTTTTGCCTGGCGCGTTCTCAAGAGGGGCGAGCGCGTCGATCAGAGGTTCAATTGCAAGCGTTTCAACAATCCCGAAGAGACGTGGAGCCTGCTCGTCAAGCATTGCCTCAGCAACTCCGGATTTTGATTGCGAGGTGTCCAGCTGGTGCTCACAACAAATCATAACCTTGGCACGCACGGTACAGATTTGTGCGGTTGCCTCGTGTTGAGATCTCCGTTTCGCCGAGCTTTGACGGCTAGCCTCGGCGCGCGATGCGGAGGAGCCCCAGCTTAACCATCGCTCGGTTGCAGCATCAGCTTTTTGAACTCTTGGTTTGCCTAGAGCGCTACGTACGTTTGTTTGTTTGCGCTCTGTCAGAGCTGAAGGCTAGCCTCAGCTCGGACTGCGATGCGACAAAATGCATGCAGCCTCCTCCCCTCCGTCCCCCTCCACCTCCCTGTCCTCCATCTCCCGCTCGGTCACTTGCTCACTGAAAGACGTCACGTTGGAGAATGTTCGCGGCCGCGCGCCGACTTTCCCACCTGGCCCTGGACTTGCCGTTGACCCAATGCTCTCGAACCCAAGAGGTTCCCCAGGAAATCCAGAGCTCTCGATGTCCAGCGTTCAAGTTTGAATTCCAGAGCTGCTCCAATAACTTCGGATGCGACTTCACAAACAACTGCCCGGACGGTGGCCAACATTGCAATGCAAGTTCTGTTTGGGAAGCTAGTTCGGTTAAACACAGCGTGGACATGAACAATGACTGTCGGACTGCTAGATCAGAAGGGAAGGCAATGTGGCAAACGGAGTAGGCAAGTCTTCGTCATCATTATCCTCGTCATCCCCCCCCCTCTTGGCGCTGCTGCACTATCGCATGTATCGCTCACCCTCTCCCAAGTCCTGGCGCTTCGCGTGTCTCCACCAGCCCATCAAGGAGCGACCCCCGAGGACGTGCTGTTATCGGGGGAGGGCGACATCATTTTGAGAACGCAGGGGCCCTGTTGAACGGGAGCCTTTGTGAGGCAGGTCCTCGGAGCCTCGTGGGAAGGTTAAAGCCTTTTAGAACCCTCTTGGGGCAGATCGGGGATTGGTTGGCGTCTTTTGGAATGCCATTGGGATCATTTGTGGGCGCAGGCTTGGTGCCATCTTGGAGGCCATCGAGGAATCAATTGCAGTGAATGCCCCCATCTAGCGTGAGCCCGATGAGTTGCAAGGCGCCGTTGCAAGGATGGCGCAAACCTCCCGAAAGGGGAAGAAGGCGGTAGGAAAAATGAAGCGCTCGAGATGCCCCACCCCCCAAACAAGTTGTTAACGTAGCCTGTCTGTGTCAAGCCAGTTCCAGGCTGCGTTCATTCTCGAAGCCCAGTTTCAGGCTGCGTTCGTTCTCGCAGCCACCCATCTGGGGCCTGAGTTGATTGGGTCGGAGGTTCGCGCTGCGTCGACGACGCATCGCCGCCCGATGCGGGGTTTGATTTTCTCGACGCCGACGCGGCGCGAACCTCTGACCCCGTCAACTCAGGCCCTCAGACCCCATCAACCCGGGCTCCGCGATGGCTGTGTGCAGCCGCTGCGCCGACCCGTCCGAGACGAACTTGGTGCATGTGCGCGCAGCGGATCGCATGGCACGCAACCGCGCAGGTGTATGCATCTGGCGGTGCCGACCATGCGAGAGGCTCCGCATGCGATTGTATCGCCTGCGGACCTCCCGCCCGGAGGTGTTCGCTATGTATCGGCGGCTCGGGGCGGGGGGCAAGCAGCAGGTGTTCCAGCACGGCAAGCATATGTATGGCGATGGGTTAGTGCAGCTCATCTGGGACACATTGCAGATCCACCAGAATCCCGTGGCTGATGCGCCCCCCATGGTTGATGTGGCGATGCACTTGCCCGACTTGATGCTCCCAGATCTCATCCCCGAGCCTCCTGTTGATTGCATTTGGGCAACGCCAGAAGAGGCCGCGAAGCTTTTTGGCGGTTTCATTCCCGAGGCCGTCGAGGCAACGCTGATAAGGGATCCCGTTTCACTGCAGAGTTTCGTTTGGATCGATCGCGTTCGCCCCGCTGTAGAGCTCGAGCAGGCGTAAATTTCGAGCGCAGGCTTCACTGAGCCACGCGCATAGCGTAGCAATCCTTCCAACTCCTCAGCCCCTCCTTCCCATCCTCCTCCGCATCTTCCTCCTCCTCCTCCTCCACCTCCTCCTCCTCCTCCCTACTCTTCCTACTACTGCTACTACTACGACTCCTCTCCCTTCTCTCCCTCCTCATCTTTCCCCTCCTCCATTTCCTCCTCCCCCCCCTCGCCATGAGTTTTGCTTGAAATGCTACCGCAACGCTCTGCTGGCCCCATCACGCCCCTCACGCGGCGCGCATGTACAGTCTGGCGCTTGCCGAGAAAAAAACAGAAAACGTGCTGCTCCCTTTCCTGTCCGCGGCCCGCCCCGCCCCTCCGAATCGGCGTCGATGAGGGTCGTCGGGGCTCGGCTTGCCTTGCCTGCCCTGTTCAGGGGGTGAGGGGAGGAGAGAAGGGTGGAGGGGAAGAGAGCTGAAGGGGGGAGGGTGGGAAAAGAGAATGGACGAAGAAGGCAAACCGCGGCAGCAGCGCAAGTGTCTGGTGAGCGCTCCCGTCTTTCAATATAGCTCCCAAGAGGGCCACAAGAGAGCCCATGATGGTTCCAACATGCATTCAAGCTGGCCCAAAATGCCTCCAAGACGGTCGCCGACGCAGAACGCCCAAAACAGTTAGAAACAGTTAGGAATAGTTAGAAACAGTTAGAAATAGTTAGAAACAGTTAGAAATAGTTAGAAGCAGTTATAAAACAGTTACACAACAGGCCACTTAACCTTCGACATACAACATCAGGTTGTGGCAGTTCTACAAGTCAGATTATATGCGGGTGAAGTGTAAGTCCTTAAGTGGACAGCAACTCATGTTATATGCTGTATAACCGATCTGCGCGCCAAGTACGGATACTCTTGGCTAACCTGGCCGAAACTACGTTACCAGTGCGGAAGAAGTTTCTGGTGGGGCATTGTAGAGCTAGATGTACCCAAGGAGATAGTCGGCTTGAACCTGTCATCTGAAGCATCTCCATCTTGGTCGGCACATGGCCGGATGTCGTAGCAGGTCCCCCCGCAGGTAAACTGGCCACGAACGTCAGCGCCGTCCGTAGTGCAGTGCTATCGGAGAAATTTTTCTGGCGATTAAAGCGTCAATATAGAGCGAATGTCGCGCATCGCCGCATTGACCTGAACGTCGCGGCTTCCCACTCGAATGATGACTTGACCCCTTTCGGGACCGTTTCTTACAATTGGGAATGGGCCGTTGCAGCCCCCCCAGTCGTCCTTCGTGGTTGCGGGGCGATGGTAATCAACTGAATCTCCTTCGCCGTAGCAGTGCTGACCGGCATCGACTGTCTTGGGTGGTTATGCACGATGAATCTTGGCAACTGCGGTGGCCTGTGTGATAGCTTCAATGCATGCCTTGCGTATCATCTGTTCACGAGAATGATCTGACGTTTCCGTCGGCTGTTCGTGATCCGGGAAAGGCAAGTCAGGGAGAATTGCCGGTTGCCGTCCAAACAGAGCGTTGCATGGAGACACCTCGTCGTAGACGGTGAGCGCGCTCGCGGCAAACAAAGCCTCATGCAGTAGTCGCGTGAACACAAGATGCATGTCTAACCTGTTGAGTTCAGCCTGCATGACGTGAAGTCGATGGCGCAATGTGCCCTTTCTGGCTTCGATCCTCGGAGCTTGTTGTCCACGCGCACGCATCCTTAGTTCAGTACCCTTTGCCTTGAGGACTGCTTTCGCAGCGTCGTGTTTGAGGGCGCCATCTCCGTCGGAGTAG